ATAAATGTGTGTCAGAAGCTTGTAATCATTCTTTAATAATATTATTGATCTTAAATGATCAAGAAAAGTTGGATCTTTTCCGGGTTTGGGAAGGAGTGTGATGACACCTTGTTTCATAGTTAAACAGTTCAATAATCTGCCAAAGTAACAAGTTCTTTATCTCATTGGCAAATTGAATAAATACATTTTATAATATAGGGCTGATTAAAAAATATACTTTTTATAGTTTTGAAAATGTACATTTTTCTAAACACAAGCCAGTTTCTCTCTAATACAGTCTTAGAATAATTTAGAGAAACAATGAAAATATATTTTTATATATAGCGTTATCCTTCCTTAAAATACTTTTATTGCTAAACTATATAGGGATAAACTGGCTTGTTGTTATAAATTTACATTTTCACAGCTCAATACTAACTCCAGTTCTGACTCTTATGGAGAATGAAGAGTGCCAAATGACAGCAAATAACTTATAAAGTTATTTATTAATTTATTTTTAAAAAGAACAATGAAGCTTTCTGAAATACATTTTTAGTTATTTTTAATAATTTATGCAAATATATGAACAGATCTGAATTAAAGATTCAGTTTGGATAAAATTTCAATGCAAATCATGAACTTTTTGTTGTTCTGATGTTTGTGAAAAAACTGAACTTCATTCCTGGTCAAGATCCAGATACTTTTTCTTTTTTCAAACAACATCAGACACTAAATGACACATGAGGAATAAACAGGAGGAAAACCTTTGAGGTCAGAGGTCATCATCATGGTTCAAAGTCTCTTTAGACTCAAACTGCTGCAGCTTCAACCTGTGAGGATCAGCAGGACACAGAGACGTTCTCTACTTTACAGAGATCATCTCCACCTGCAGAGAGAAGAAGGAAGGAGAGCAGATCAGTGAGTGTTTCCAGCAGCAGTCAGTGACGCAGCACATCCAGTAGATGGTTTCCAGTCAGACTGATCTCAGAGCTGTGACCAAGATGAACCTGATCAGTTGTTTCCTGTTGAACTGAGAGAACAAGCAGGTCTGAGATCAGATCTGCTGCTGTTTGATGAATGAGGACCACTGTCTCTAGACATGTTGGACGCTGGAGTCCAGCTGGACGTCCTGGAGACATGGACACAGCAACAACACAGCAAGCTGCTGCTCCTCTGATTGGCTGATTGCTGTGTCCAATCAGGAAGCCTGAACCATTCTCCTCCCACTGAGAAGCTGCAGCTTTACTGGGAACACTGGATCTTTGCTTTGATGCTGACTGGGTTTAGTTCAATATGCTGACAGCAGCTGGACTCACTGCAAACATTTACTTACCTAAAGTCTACAATCCTTCAGCTGCTGAACATCTGATTCCTCAGGTAGTTTCCATCAGGTCCAGTTTGTCAGACGGGTCGGGTTGGACTTCAGAGCTGAGGCCAAATAATCACAGCTGATCTTTGACAAACTGCAGTCATCCAACCTGAATAAAGAATAAAAGATGTGAACCAACAGGATGCAGGTTAACCAGTCCAACAGAACCAGTTAAAGATTCTCAATATTTAATGCCAACAAGCTGCTGCTCCAATAAAGACCTGCTGACTTCAGAACCAGAACCAGAACCAGAACCTGGTACTGGGTCATGATGTGTTGGAGGATTTTAGTCAGTAAAATCATTCCAGGTTCTGATCAAAGTGTTGAAGCATCAATCATTGATTATTGATTTGTTCCTGTCAGATTCCAGGAATTCACTTTTCTAGACTGGATGACCTTTGACCTGCTTGACCTGAGGGGGATTTCTACACACTGGGGTCCGAATGCTGTCCTGTTCTGACCTCAGATCAGCAGGTCCAACTCAGTTACACAGAGAAACTAAATTAAACTCTGGATCCAGGAACAAACTCAGAAAATATTGATTAGATCAGAAGAAATGAACTTTGATTTATGATCAATTATATAGAATTATTCACAGAAATATCAATAATTATATCATTAAAATACTTCAATGTCTCCAGTTTGCAGCCTTCAGTCTGTAGAAAACCACAGAGATCCTTCAGTCCAGAATCTTCCAGGTTGGTTTCGTACAGGTCCAGTTCTGTCAGATGGGTCGGGTTGGACTTCAGAGCTGAGAACAGAGACGTCCAGCTGGTCTCTGATAAACTGCAGCCCTCAATCTGAATAAAGAATAAAAGATGTGAACCAACAGGATGCAGTTAAACTGAAATATGAACAAATCAATAATAAATGTATAAATTAATTTCCCTGAATGTAAAAGAAACATGATGAACTGATTCTAACATCTGATCCAGTCAAACTGGTTTAAAGAGTCCAAACCAGCAGAACCAGAACATTTGATCAACAAAGAAACTCAAAGTTTTCTATCAGTCTGGATGAGTTGAGCTATTTCTGCTGGTTCCTGATCATCAGACCCGACTTGGTAACTGGATCAGAACCAGTCAGGTTCTTCATTAATGGCCTTTGGGTTCCTATTAAAGCTGCTGAAAGCCAATGGGGCCATTATTTCCTCAGGAGACGGTTCCTCTCTGACCCGGCCCAACAGAACCACAGCCTCAGGACAAAGCTGAGGAACCTGCTGCTGCTGCAAACCTCACTTTCATTCATTGCATCTAGATTTGCTTTTCTACAATCAGTGGTTTCTTAGACGTTCATTAATGAGGATTTGAACTCGTCAGTGTTTGTGGCTCTGGAGGATCAACATTTCATTCTGATGTAAAGAATCAGAAATAAAAGCATCTGAATCTTTACCAAACTGAAACATCTCCATCATTCATTCACAGCATTTCAATTATTTTACTCATTTTGTTCATCAAAAACATTTTAAAGAGAAAAACTGAAAAACAAAGTTCAATAATCTCAAAGTCTGAAATAAGAAAATAATTAATAAGGTCAAAAGTTTTAGAGATTTTATTCTCATGATTAAACAAGTTGTTTTAAAATAATATATATTAACATTAAATTGATTAACTATTGATTAAACAATCAATAAATGATTTTATTGTATAAATAGAGAAAACAAACCTCAGATTCTTCACTTTACTGACTGAATTCTCCAGGATCTCAACCAGATGCTTCATATCAGATCTCCACATTTTCTATGTAGATCTGATTTATTTCCAGTTCAGTCAGATCTGGGTTGGACTTCAGAGCGAGGCCAAAACTTCATATTCATCCTTTTGGAGCGAACAGCCACCAAGTCTGTGATTAGAGAAGAAATAAATTTAGTTCTAATGAAATCAATCTGGATCATAAACAGACTAAAATATGATAACAGTGATGTCATCATCTGATCATCATCTGATCAATATCTACTGAGTTTGACCCCACAGAGAATCTGTGCAGTCCTGGTTAGAGTCCAGGTTCTGGTTCTGGTTCTGGTCCAGGTTCTGGTTCTGGTTCTGGTCCAGGTTCTGGTTCTGGTTCTGGTCCAGGTTTTGGTTCTGGTCCAGGTTCTGGTTCTGGTCCAGGTTCTGGTTCTGGTTCTGGTCCAGGTTCTGGTTCTGGTTCTGGTCCAGGCTTCATGTCCTCAGACCTTCAGCTGCAGTCAGATGTTGAAGATCTTCTATCATCAGTGAAGGAAAGTTCAGTTTCTCTGCAGCAGCTGAAGAGGCTGACTGAGCTGAATGAAGGAAACGACTGGAGATGATGGAGAGGAGGAGGAACTGCTCACAGCTCTGACTTGGACTAGACCGTTTAGATCAAGCAGGAAGTGAGTTATAAATGAAGTGAGCAGAACAGGAAGTCCAGCTGCTGTGGACCTCTGGCATCTCTGGGTTTGTTGAGCCAATATCTGCTGCATCATCATGAATAATAGTAATATATTGTATAGAAAATGTTTCCCAGCAGCAGGTTATTAAATGCTGCCACAGGAAAACTGGGAGCAGAACAAACACATGATGCTCCAGTTCTGTCTCCGTTCATCTGCTGGATTTGATGCTTTAACAAAGTAGAAAGTGGACAGTCGTCAACCTGCTGCAGCTAAAAGCTTCACGTTGTTCTGGTCGTCCTGCAGAGCAGCAGCAGAACCGGTCCTGCTGCTCCTTCGGGTCAGAACCGTCCTCTCAGACTGTGGATCTGAGAGGAACTGGGACAAACTGGTTGGAAGAGGGACACATGTCTCTGCAGTGGTCTGTCCATTGTCTCAGAGGAACAAAGGTTTGGATGTCAGGAGAAATTGTTGCTAAACTCCTAAAGAGCTGAAGAGCAAAACCCCTGGAGGAGACGGAGCGTTTGGGTCCAGCAGCATTTCATGGTGAAGCAGTGAAAGTTCTCCAGTCACTAGAAGAGGCTGGATGTCTCCAGAGTTGAAGCTCATGTCTCTGCAGGTCTTCATGGAGGACAGCTAACAGCTTCAACAAAGGCTGCAGATGAAGAGTTGATGAGGAAAATGGTTCCAGCTCTGGAAGCAGATTCTCAGAGCTTTGGGAGGATCTGACAGAAACTAGAACTTTTTCTGGAACCAGACGACAAAACCCACATTTTGGTCTCATTTACAAACTCAGAGGAAACTAGAGGGAGGAGGAAGAGGATGATGAAGATCAACACTGTTCACAAAGTTTATAATTAATGCAAAGATTTATTTGAATGGTCGACATTTTTATTAAACCCAACAATAATTTTATAAAACAGTCAAAGATCCTAAAATGTGAATGATGGAGCAGCGGCTCAATGAGTGAAGAGTTTAAAGTTCAAAAGTTTCTCTGGCTGATTGGATCTTAGAGAAAATAGATTTTCTAGAGTTCAGGGTTTTCTATTCATTTCATCCTGAAAACTGATAAAAAGTGAAATATTTTTAAAATGATCAAAATGTGTAAAACCAGAAGCTGCATCTGTCCTGGATGAGCTGAATGTTTAGATGTTTGATTGGCTGAAATAATCCAGAGGATGAAGGAAGTAGATAAAGAGCAAAAACATCCAGAATCACTTGAAGACAGAAGAAGAAACAGGAGGACAATAGAGCTGAATCAGCATCACACAATGAAAACATCTGGACTCACCGAGCCTTTCTGCAGTTCCTCACAGCTGGAACCAGTCTCTGTCGTCCATCTGATGATGTGTTGTACTTCTCCAGGTCCAACTCATCCAGAACCTCTGACATCTGCAGCATGAAGGCCAGAGCTGAACAGTCAGTCACTGAGAGATACTGCCCTGAATCCAGCAGCCGTTGGATCTCCTGATAAAATGAGACGTCGTTCATCTCCACCAGACAGTAGAAGATGTTGATGCTTCTGTCAGGAGAGATTCTATCAGTGTTCATCTCCTTCAGGTTGGTGATGATTCTCTGGATGGTTTCTGGACTGGTCTCTGTCTGACCCAGCAGATCTTCTAAGTCTCTCTGGTTGGACTCCACAGTGAGACCATGAAGGAAGCGGACAAACAGGTCCAGGTGGCCATTTTTACTGCTGAGGGATTTCTCCATGACTTTCTTCATGAACTCATCTAGAGATGTTTCTCTGTATTCGTCTCCCAGGAACGTCTTGATCTCCTCTGACTTCCTGCTGGTGAAGCAGTGGAGCATGTAGACTGCAGCCAGAAACTCCTGGATGCTCAGATGAACAAAGGAGTAGACGGAGACGTCGCGTGTCCCTCTCTCTCTTTTAAACATCTCAGTGAAAACTCCTGAGAACAACGCAGCATCTTGGATGTTGATGCCGCACTGTGTGAGATCTTTGTCATAGAAGATCAGGTTTCCCTTCAGCAGCTGATCAAAAGCCAGTTTTCCTAGAGACTCAATCAGCTTCCTGTTCTCTGGACTCCAGATAGATTTGCTCTTTTTTCCTCCATCATATTTTTCCTCCTTGATTGAGCTGAACCAGCAGGAACTCTATGTACATCTCAGTCAGAGTCTTGGGTAGTTTCTCTCTCTCTCTGGTCTTCATCACATCCTCCAGATCTTTAGCAGTGATCCAGCAGAAGACGGGGATGTGACACATGATGTGGAGACTTTTGGATTTCTGGATGTGGGAGATGATCCTGCTGGCCTTCTCTTCATCATCTCTGAATCTCTTCCTGAAGTATTCCTCCTTCTGGGGGTCAGTGAACCCTCTGACCTCTGTTACCATGTCAACAAACTTTCCAGGGATCTGATTGGCTGCTGCAGGTCGTGTGGTTATCCAGAGGAGAGCAGAGGGAAGCAGTTTCCTACTGATGAGGTTTGTCAGCAGAACATCCAGTGAGGTCGACTTTTCAGGGTCAGTCAACATTGTAGTGTTGTAGAAATCCAGACAAAGTCGACTTTCATCCAGACCATCAAAGATGAACAGAACCTGGAACGCTTCAAAGTTTCTGATTCCTTTGGTTTTAGTGAAACGTTCATGAATCAGTTCTAATAAGCTGAACTTTTTCTCTCTCAGTAAATTCAGTTCTCTGAAGGTGAATGGAAATATGAAATCAATGTTCTGGTTGGTTTTGCCTTCAGCCCAGTCCAGAGTGAACTTCTGTGTTAACAGTGTTTTCCCAATGCCAGCCACGCCCATGGTCATCACTGTTCTGATTGGCTGATCTCCTCCAGGTGAGACTTTAAAGATGTCTTCTCTTCTGACTGTTTCTTGTTTCCTGGATGCTGTTTCAATCTGTCTGACCTCATGTTCCTGGTTGACCTCTCTAGTTGACCCCTCTGTGATGTAGAGCTCAGTGTAGATCTGGTTCAGATCGGTTTTATTTCCAAGTTCAGCGACGCCTTCAGAGAGACTTTGGCTCTTCATCTTCAGAGACTCTTTAAGGTCAGCCTGATACTGACCAACAATATCTGAAAAAAGAAAATATAATAAAAACATTCTTGCAATATCCTAAGAAGGATTTGTGTGTAAAATTCTATGAAAGAAACAAAATTCAATATTCATGGAAAACTATTTGTAGGAGTCTATGTAACCCACAAGGAAAGTTACTTAAATACACCTGATAATAGTAAGTGGCATGACTTGTGTCTCTGCTGTCTCGGTGTGGAACATCTCAGGAGGTGCTGTCAGATGACGCTTGTCCCAACTGTCGCATCATGCCCCAGTCAGTCAGGCTGGATTGGTTGGCTGCAATGGAGCAGCCTACCGACTTGGCGGCGCTGCGCTGCATAGTTTGTTGCTGCCGCAACAGGCGATGTGCAAATGGCCTACTGTGGCTGCAACTTCAGTGTCGGCGAAGCAAGCCAGACGGAACGATGCAGGGAGGTTGTCCACAAAAGAGGATCACCTCTCAACTGAGCTAGAAGGCCTTTCTCCAGTCCTTGCAGGCTGCTCTGGATGGGAGAGCAGGGTAGCTCTCCCATCCAAGCAGGATGGAGCATCAGTACTTGATGACGATGTTATTTTGTTGGCGGCCTCGGGCATTCATTTCTGTGAGGACCTTCTGGAGCTGGGCTCTGGGGCATCTGGGTCTGACTTCATTGTCTCCCAGGAGGATTCGGGGGAGTCTATGACAGCCGCTATTCGAGCGGCTCTTGCCCGTTTACAGATTGGTGTTCCCCAGGCCCAGCTAGCAGTTTCCAGCACCTTCTTCAGGTGCAGTAGATCTGAGACTGCCTTTGTGGTTCCTCCCTCGGAGGGGTATATACAGGAACTACATGCTTGCTGGTCAGACAACAAAGCGTTTTCATGTCTGACAACAGATGGCAGGGTCCTGGCGGATATGGAGGAAGCACCCAGGATTGGTTTGGGGCAGATGCCAGTGGTTGAAATGGTCATCGCCTCTCTTACTTTCCCCTCCAATGAAGCTTTACATCCCAATGCCCTTTGTCTGCGACCTCAGTGCTGTATTACTGATGACCTTCCCTGCAAGGCCTATAACTTCAGGGCCCGCACAGGCCAGATTGGGAACTCTCTCTCCTATCTTCTGCTGGCCCTGTCTTCCCCTTTGGAATCTGTTTTACTGGACCACACCACGTAAGGCATGGTTGCATCTCTGCAGGCCTTTGCTCTCACGACGACGGAGCATGGGCGCACACTCTCCACATTGGTTCACGCTCGCCGCCAGGTCTGGTTGGCGATGTCACCACTTACTGACCCTTGTAGGAGAACCCTCCGGGCCCTAACTGTGGTTCTGGGGAAACTTTTCAGCTCTGCAGCACTGGATGCCTTGGACGGTGCAGCTCAGGCCTCTCAAACAATGCAGCGGCTAGCAGGGCTTCACAGACAAGATCGCCAACCAGTTGGCACTTGGGCGGCTGCGGGTCCTTCATGGAGGTCCACGTGCCCGTCTCCTTCTTTCATTGAGCCCCAGGGTCAAGTGCCAACTCAGAGATCAGTCTTAAGGCTTGCTCTAGATCAGGGAAACCAGGCTCGAGAACAAGGAGGGGCCAGCTCATCTCACCCCTTTCGAGTCGCACAGTCCTGCGACTCGAAAGGGATGCCCACATCCCGGACTTGTGGGTGTTGTCCACCCTGTCCTGGGCATACTGTCTGCCAGCCACCTGTCCCTGGCCACGTCAGGATGACCGTGATCTACGACCCGGTGAAGGCACAGGCATTGAAACAGAAAATCTGCACCTTGCTGGCCAAAAACTATAGTGCATGTGGACCCCCTGCTGGATCCAGGGGGCTTTTATTCGATATTTTTTCTGGTTCAGAAGAAGACCGGGGGTCTACGTCCAGTCTTGGACCTCAGGGGCCTGAATGTGTACTTGAAGGTCATGCCTGTGCTGGTGAGGTCAGACAACACCACTGTGGTTTTTCACATCAACCACCGGGGGGGCCCCGGTGGATGAAATTGCTTGACTCAACGGCTTCTGACCTGGGCAGCTCCATGCGTGGCCAGCCTCAGAGCAGCTTGCGTCCCCGGGCCAGAGAACATGCCAGGAGAGGTCGTGCACTTTCTAATCAACGACTTACACACTGGGTTGTGGATTTGATCTCCAACGCTTATGCCTTGCAGGACCAGAGGCTGCTGGCAGGTGTGAGGTGCCACTCTACAAGGGGAATGTCAACCTCGTTTGCTGCCATGACTGGGGTGCCATTGGACGTTTTATGCCGTGTGGCCTCCTGGAAAGCATATAGTACCTTTACTCTGTTTTACAGGGTGAATGTGGCTGCGCCCCATCCCCTTCAAGGAATTCTGGAGCAGCATTCCTCTACATCACATAGATGTAGAGATTCTCATAGGTCAGTTTTTAACTGGGTAGCTTGTCAATGTCTGCCTTTAGCTGCGTCTTCTCCTGATTACTCAGTGGGACTGAAACGACCTCGCTGCACTTAGTTGGGACTCCAGGATTGTGGGGTTTAACTCCATGCAGAGAGGTGAGTAGTGTCGTGGTTGTCCCTTGGATGTTGCCGATTCCTTGTGACCTTGTTGACATAAGTCATCCAGTGCTTGAAGCACCGCCTCAGTAGGGATGAAACAGAACGAAAGTCACTTTGAATCCCAGATGACCGCCAGAGTGCTTGGTCCCTTGGAATCCTTGCTCTCACAAGAAGGTTGAGGAATTGAACGTCGGATAATGTGACTATATAGAGACAAGTGGGCCCTCAGCAGGTCACAGGTGACTTTGTTGTCATCAGTACTCGACCTGAGCATGCGCAAGAATGATCATTCAGTGCCTCTCGCGGTCAGAAGGAATGAAATAGAGCCAGAGTTACAGTAGTAACTTTCGTTTACTGCAACTGGAGAATTTTATTAAAAAATGAAACAGACTCAATTTCAAAATGTTGGAAAAACTTTTTTAAAATAAAAATAAAATCCCAGTCACAAGCATCCTCATTCACATGTTTGCTGCTTCCAGGCTGCAGGAACTTCAGTTCTGATGGTTCCGACCCGTCTGGTGGTTCTGAACAGTAACTGGTGTCTCCCGCAGGAGACTTTGTCCTAGTCAAAATCTTCAGGATTCTGGTCCCTGATTATCCTGAACCTCCTGATCTGGTTCCTCCTCTTCCTCACTCATTACATCACATTGACCTTTGACCTTTTAATCAGCCAATAATCGGTATTGATCACCACCAATCATTTGATTGGAAAAATACAAATACATTTACAGCACTGACCTTTGACCTGCAGATGAACCCGTTTCATCATCAGAGTGACTCCTTTCCTGACTCTGCAGGTGTAGATCCCGCTGTCTGCCACTGAGGGGCGGTCCAGAGTCAGACTGAGGTCTTTAGTCTTCAGTGGGTCGTCACCCATCCTGGTTCTGCTGGTCAGGTTCTGTTCTTCAGGATCATCAGAACCGCTCGGATACACATGGACCGTCTTGTTCTCTCCGTCTCTCCACTCCACTCTGGCGCCTCCTGGCAGGTAAATGTTGGTTCTGCAGGGCAGCACGACAGATTTAACCCCTAGATCCACCTGCACCTGTAGAGCTGAGAGACACAGAGGACAAGATAAGAGAGACAGAGAGAGAGAGAGAGAGGCAGACCCTTCCTTTGTTTTCTCTTTTCCTCTCCTTCCTTCCTCCCTTCTAGTTTCTATCTTTGCCACTAGGGGACGCAGCCATTTAGTGAGTAATGTTTTGTTCAGATATGAAATAAAGTTCAGGAATTAGTGCAGATCAGTTGAAGTTGTGTTTGGAACTCACTTCCTGTTGATTTAAAGTCCGTAACCAGTTCAGAAAACAAACAAAACTCTGGTTATGTCAAAAACAGAACTGATGTTTTATGTTTACTGTTTGTTTGTAGATGTTGTCAACATCATGTTGTACTTTTTAAATAATTATCACTTCAATTTTTAAAGGTACTATTTAAAAGCCAACCTAGGGCCAAGTGCTGCAAATTAGCTGTTGCTATTGCACTATGATGCAAACATGGGACTGCTGTTTTGAGCAGTTTGTCTATTCAATGTGTCTGTCCTTATCAAATAAACTTAAATAAATAAAATGACCTTTGAACTGCCTCGCTGCAGTTCAGTCGTCTGGAGTCCAACAGTCACTAGGAACCACGGATCAGTAAAGATCCAGAGAGCAGAGAGATAGCAGGAGCTGGTTCTGTTCATGATTTTTCTAACTATGCTGCATTTGATCTGACCATGAATGAACAGAAAGATCTGAACTGATGAAAAGATTAACCGTTGACCTCTGACCCCCAGGACAAGTCACATGATCTCTCAGTATTCTGGGTCAGAAACAGTCAGAGAGTCATATGTCCTTTGATTTCCATAATTGTTATTAGCAGATTTTGATATCCCAAATTATTTCTTGGAATTCCCAAACACATTCACTGTAACTGTTGCCAGAAGTTCCTACGTAAATCAAGGGTAATAATGTCATTGGTCAAAACTTTCTAATACACAGCAGTAGAGTTGAAACCCTATGAAAAGGTGATGTCAGAAGCTGAAGTTGAGAGATTTTGGATTTCTGGAACGATGCAAATGTGATGGGGGTTTTTTCCGCAGATGCCAGAAAAAGGTAGAGTGCCTTCTCCGGGTCGAGGGAGATGTCCTGCCTCAAGTGGAGGAGTTCAAGTATCATGGGATCTTGTTCATAAATGAAGGAAGAAGGGAGCGTGAGATCGACAGGCGGATTGGTACAGCGTCTGCCGTGAAGCGGGCGCTGTACCGGTCCGTCATGGTGAAGAGAGAGCTGAGTCAAAAAGCAAAGTTCTCGATTTACCGGTCGATCTACGTTCCTACCCTCATCTATGGTCATGAGCTTTGGGTAATGACCGAAAGAACGAGATCTCGGATACAAGCGGCCAAAATGGGTTTCCTCCGTCGGGTGGCTGGGCTCTCCCTTAGAGAGAGAAGCTCAGTCATCCAGGAGGGACTCAGAGTAGAGCTGCTGCTCCTCCACATCGAGAGGAGCCAGTTGAGGCTCAGGCTTCTGGTCAGGACGGACGCCTCCCTGGTGAGATGTTCAGATCCCACCGGGAGGAGACCCCGGGGAAGACCCAGGACACGCTGGAGGGACTATGTCTCCCGGCTGGCCTGGGAACGCCTCAAGATTCCCCCGGAGGAGCTGGAGGAAGTGGCTGGGGAGAGGGAAGTCTGGGCCTCCCTTCTTAAGCTGCTGACCCTGCGACCCGACCCCGGAGAAGTGGCAGACGATGGATGGATGGATGGATATTTATATTAAAATCTCTTTCCATTTTTTGGCCATAAACAGAATGGAATCCGAATCCTGTGTATCATTTCTTGATTCAAATGTTCCTTAAGTTTACTTTACTTTTAATTCCTCCAGACTCACCTGGCAGGAAATAACCTTTAAAATGATATAAAACGCCTGCAGAGACGATGAGAACCAGAACCAGCAGAGCTGTGGCCCAGGATGGAAAGGGTTCTGTGGAAAACAGAGAAAGATTGACCTCACTCTGACCTTTGACCTTTACCAGCAGCTCTGACCTGATGCTCTGACCTTTCTGTACATATTTCAGAACCAGCGTGTGTCTCAGGATGTCCTGGTCTCTGTAGACGGTGCAGACGTAGCGTCCAGCGTCTCTGTGTGTGGGATTCCTCAGGGTCAGGCCGACGTCTCCGGTCCTCAGGAAATCTTGGTCCATCTCTGTGCGGTCGCGGTAAAATCTGTCCTGCTGGGCGTAGTGTTTACTCGTGTTAGGAAACACATGAATGAACATGGAACGAGGTTCTGACTGGGTCCACTCCACTACTGTGTCCTCAGGAAGGCGGGACGATGTTGTGCAGGGCAGGACGACAGAATCTGACCCCTCAGTGACCTCGACCTCCTGCTGATCAGCTGAGGGGAAATAAAGAACAAAATGATCAGAAACAGTTTGGATCATTTTCTGCTTTCATGACAGATTTAGTCTCATCACTGTCTCCATGGTTACAGACACTATGAACAATTATTCATTTTCTCTTTTCAACAAATTCATTCATTTATACAACTTTACCTCTCCTCGGGCTGCCACCTTAACGTGGTGGAGGGGTCTGAGGGCCCCAATGATCCTAAGAGCTATGCTGGTAAGGTCACCCAAGGCAGACAGGTCTTAGGGGAGGGACCAGACAAAGCGCAGCCCGAAGACCCCTATGATGCACACAAACTTTGGACCTAGTGTTCCCTCGCCCGGATGCGGGTCACCGGGGCCCCACTCTGGAGCCAGGCCTGGAAGTGGGGCACGTTGGCGAGCGCCTGGTGGCCGGGCTTTTACCTATGGAGCCCGGCCAGGCCCAGTCCGAAGAAGAAACAAGGGACCCTCTTCCAATGGGCTCACCACCTATGGGAAGGGCCACAGGGGTCGGGTACAGTGTGTGATGGGTGGCAGCCGAGGGAGGGGGCCCTGGCGGTCCGATCCTCGGTTACAGAAACTGGCTCTTGGGACGTGGAATGTCACCCCTCTGGTGGGGAAGGAGCTGGAGCCGGTGTGTGAGTCTGAGAGGTTCCGGCTAGAAATAGTCGGTCTCACCTTGACGCATGGTTCTGGTTCTGGAACCAGTCTCCTTGAGAGGAGCTGGATGTACTTCCACTCTGGAGTTGCCCACGGTGAGAGGCCTTTAGCAGGAGTGGGCAGACTCGTTGCTCCCCATCTCGGCGCCTGTACGCTGTGGTTTACCCCCGTAAACGAGAGGGTAGCCTTCTTCCGCCTACGGGGGGGGACGGGTTCTGACTGTTGTTTGTGCTTACGGGCCAAATGACAGTTCAGCCTACCCACCCTTCTTGGAGTCCTTAGAGGGGGTACTGGAGAGTGCCCCTCCTGGGGACTCCCTCGTTCTGCTGGGGGACTTCAATGCTCACGTGGGCAATGACAGTGAGACCTGGAGGGGCGTGGTTGGGAGGAACGCTCCCTCCGATCTGAACTCGAGTGGTGTTCTGTTGTTGGACTTCTGTGCTCGTCACAGATTGTCCATACCGGACACCATGTTCAGGCATAAGGGTGTCCATATGTGCACTTGGCACCAGGACACCCTAGGCCACAGTTTGATGATCGATTTTGTCATCGTTTCGTCGGATCTGCGGCCGTATGTCTTGGAGAGGTGCGGAGTTGTCCACTGACCACTACCTGGTGGTGAGTCGCCTCCGGTGGTGGGGGAGGATGCCGGTCAGACATGGCAGGCCCAAACGTGTTGTGAGGGTCTGCTGGGAACATCTGGCGGAGTCCCTTGTGAGATGGAGCTTTAATCCTCATCTCCGGCAGAGCTTCAAACACGTCCCGGGGGAGGTGGGGCACATTGAGTCTGAATGGACCATGTTCCATACCTCCATTGTCGAGGCGGCTTATCGGAGCTGTGGTCGCAAGGTTGTCGGTGCCTGTCATGGCAGCAACCCTTGAACCCGTTGGTGCACACCTTAGGTGAGAGATGCTGTCACGCTTAAGAAGGAGTCCTATTGGGCCTTTTTGGCCTGTGGGACTCCGGAAGCAGCTGATGGGTACCGGCGGGTGAAGCGGCTCTGGTGGTTGCAGAGGCAAAAACTCGGGCATGGGAGGAATTCGGAGAGGCCATGGAGAAAGACTTCCACATGGCTTCGAGGCGATTCTGGTCCACCATCCGGCGTGTCAGGAGGAGGAAGCAGTGCAGTACAAACAAATTGTTTACAGTGGGGGTGGTGTGCTGCTGACCTCGACTTGGGACGTTGTGGGTCGGTGGGCGGAGTACTTCAAAGACCTCCTCACCTCACCAACATGCCTTCCATTGAGGAAGCTGAGCCTGGGGACTCTGGGTTGGGCTCTCCAATCTCTGGGGACGAGGTGGTTAAAAAGCTCCTCGGTGGCCGAGCCCCGAGGGTGGATGAGTTTCGCCCGGGGTATCTCAAAGCTCTGGATGTTGTAGGGTTGTGTTGGTTAACGCGACTCTGCAGTATCGCATGGACATCGGGGGACAGTTCCCCTGGATTGGCAGACTGGGGTGGTGGTCCCCCTGTTTAAAAAGGGGGATCGGAGTGTGTGCTCCAATTATAGAGGGTCACACTCTTAAAGCCTCCCTGGCAAGGTCTATTCGGGGTACTGGAGAGGAGAGTCCGTCAGATAGTCGAACCTCGGATTTTGGAGGAGCAGTGTGGTTTTCGTCCTGGTCGTGGAACACTGGTCCAGCTCTACACCCTCAGCAGGGTCCTGGAGAGTGCATGGCAGTTCGCCCAACCAATCTACATGTGCTTTGTAGACTTGGAGAAGGCGTTCGACTGTGTCCCTCGGGGTGCCCTATGGGGGGTAATTGTGCGGTAAAAACTAACAATAATATAGAAGGTCGCACAGGGTTAACTGGGTAGGTTTGATACTGTCATGACGCGTGTTCCAATAACTTCCAGTGGCTCCTTTGTTGTTGTTATCATGAATTTATTCCATATATCAGCTTAAATACTTCAGACTTTAAGAACTGACACATGCTGATGTTGTAGGGTATAATGCGCATTTAATGTTATTAATATGAATAATACGCATTTAATGTTATTAATATGAAATCCAACATTTTGAGAGTTTATTTACAGATCGTGCCTCGATTGGTCTCGTCTGACTCGGGGTAGTGGAACGCGTTACTTCTGTGCCTCCATTACAACACTGGAAGTGAAAGAAGTAACGTCGTGTCCGTGTCTGTTTCCCGTGTCTGTGTTCACCATTCCTTATACAGGTAAAATTACAAACTTATAAGGTTCAGACCTGTATTTAAGTTTATTCTGTTTGCCGAATAAGCAGGGAGTCTTTGAGTTCTTTACAGTAGTTTGAGTTTTATTAAGCGTTACACCCGCATTAGCTTTCTGGCTAGCAACGGCCGGTGCTACATTTCTTATTACTGTATGGCGATAACCATAATGTTTCTGTACAATGTTCAGCACTCAGTATGTGGTTATGTAATATTTGAAACTGTTCTTGAATGCATTACAACACTGGAAGTGAAAGAAGTAACGTCGTGTCCGTGTCTGTTTCCCGTGTCTGTGTTCACCATTCCCTTATACAGGGTCAACACTGACCAGGCTAAATCATAATGATGCTAACAATAAACAATATTTAACACGGTCAACAGAAATTATGACCCTCCACCCGGCGCACCCGTTTCCTTCTACATAGTGAACCAGCGCGTCAATACGGCTCTCATTCATACTAAGTGAAAGTCACACCCACTTACGACACACCCACCACTAACTGTCACAGCTGTGCCAGAGGTAATGCTCATTTAGGTCATTTCGCTCTTACAGGGGGTTCTCCGGGAGTATGGGGTACCGGGCCCTTTGATATGGGCTGTCAGGATCCTGTATAACCGGTGTCAGAGTCTGGTCTGCATTGCCGGCATTAAGTTGGGCTCGTTCCGGTGAGGGTTGGACTCCACCAGGGCTGCCCTTTGTCACTGATTCTGTTGATTTCTTTTATGGACAGAATTTCTAGGTGCAGCCAGGGTGTTGAGGGGATCCGTTTTGGTTACTTTAGGATTGCATCTCTGCTTTTTGCAGATCATGTGGTCCTATTGGCTTCATTAGGACATGATCTGCAGCTCTCGCTGGAGCAGTTCACAGCTGAGTGTGAAGCGGCCAGGATGAGGATCAGTGCCTCCAAGTCCGAGACCATGGTCTTGACCCAGAAAAGGGTAGAGTGCCTTCTCCGGGTCGAGGGAGATGTCCTGCCCCACGTGGAGAAGTTCAAGTATCTCGGGATCTTGTTCACGAATGAGGGAAGAAGGGAGCGTGAGATCGACAGGCGGATTGGTACAGCGTCCGCCGTGAAGCGGGCGCTGTACCAGTCCGTCGTGGTGAAGAGAGAGCTGAGTCAAAAAGCAAAGTTCTCGATTTACCGGTCGATCTACGTTCCTACCCTCATCTATGGTCATGAGCTTTGGGTAATGACCGAAAGAACGAGATCTCGGATACAAGCGGCCAAAATGGGTTTCCTCCGTCGGGTGGCTGGGCTCTCCCTTAGAGAGAGAAGCTCAGTCATCCAGGAGGGACTCAGAGTAGAGCTGCTGCTCCTCCACATGGAGAGGAGCCAGTTGAGGTGGCTCGGGCATTTGGTTAGGATGCCTCCTGGACGCCTCCCTGGTGAGGTGTTTTGGGCACATCCCACCGGAGGAGACCCCGGGGAAGACCCAGGACACGCTGGAGGGACTATGTCTCTCGGCTGGCTTGGGAACGCCTCAAGATTCCCCCGGAGGAGCTGGAGGAAGTGGCTGGGGAGAGGGAAGTCTGGGCCTCCCTTCTTAAGCTGCTGACCCTGCGACCCGACCCGGAGAAGTGGCAGACGATGGATGGATATACAACTTTAACATAGGTTGTGCTGCTTGTTTATCTGACCTTTGACCTTCAGGTGAATCTGTTTCACGTTCCGTTCTTCTCTTCCAGCAGAGATGCTGCAGGTGTAGTTTCCTCCATCAATCTGCTCAGGTTTCCTCAGAGTCAGGCTGAAGTCTCCAGTGTCCAGAGCGTCAGGATTCATGGAGGTCCGGTTCCTGAAACGCTGGTTCTGGTTCTGAAGATCGTCGCCGTTTTCTCTCTGCAGGTGGACGGAGTTCGGACTGAGGTCACTGCGAGTCCAGATGAGTGACGGGTCTATAGGTGGAAAACCAGAGTAGATGCAGGGCAGCAGGACAGACTCCGCCCCCTCATTGACCTCCACCACTCCACCCAGTGCATGCTGGGAAACTGAGGACACAAGATGAGGGTTTAGTGTAGAAATAATGATCAGTTCTTCACTAGAGATGAAAGATTTCAGTCTGTCTGCTAAACGGCTCAGTGATCCTGAACTCTGATCTGTTATGTAACATTAACTCACATTGAGCAAAAAGTCAGAAAACTGATAAAAGTGCATTAAAATAAATACATTTAAAACTGAAAGATGGAAACAGATGAAACTGAAAAAGCGTGAATGTTTTCAGAGTTGCTATTTATTAGCAGAAATCCTGCTGTCAGTTTTTTCAGCTTGTTTTATCTATTTGATGAGAAAGATTTTTGTTTTAGTATCTTGTGATTGTTGGGCAGATTTTTTTCTGTGACTTTATAAAAAAAATAAAATTCTTCTGACTTTATTTTTCTGGGTTTCTGGTTCTGATTCTTTCTAGTTACAGAGTTTAAACCTTCCAGTAACTTTCAGTCACTTTCTGCTGTGAAACTGAAGCATTTAGTTGATCAAACAACAATCTGGACATTTCTAAAGAATCGCTGTTTGATCCAAAAACTCATAATTTCATTCTGAATATCATCCACAGATCAACCAGTAAACCAGAGAAGAACCGGACCCACCAGAACCTGGTTCTCCTTTAATGGTCAGACCAGCATCATGCATCAGCGGCAGAACATTATGACCACCAACCTGAGACTGAGGTGAATTCAGGAGAAATAAAGTACAACCAGCAGGCGGCCATCTTGGATTCAAATCAACATGAATGTGAAAAACTGAAGGCAGGAAGGAAACGCAGAACCTTCAACATCTGCAAACATTCATCACTGGTTTCTGAGTCAATGTTTCTGGGAGCTAATGTCCAGATTACTGGTCTGAATGGGTCTCAGTGGTTCTGAAGCTCACAGAACTACAACCTGATAGAAAAATCAGAACCAGATCAGCTGCTGAACCCAAACCAGAGAAATTGAATCCAGACAGGAAACGGCAAAGTGGAGCCACTGGTTGGATGGAAGAGACCAGAATCCAACCAGCAACAATAAACCAGTGAGATCTACTGGGAGGACTGGTGAGAGACAAGTCGCTGGAACCAGAACCTGAGGTTCTGATCCAGAACCATCAACCAGCTGAGGTCACCAGGGGTCATTTAGAGAGAAGAACGGACCAGAACCCAGAAGCTCTGAAGCTGATCAGCAGCTTGCAGAGACTGGAGAGGATGAGGAGCAGAGAGGAAGATGATCTTACCGAGCAGGAGGATCATCGTTATCATCATCATCATCATCATCATCATCTTCCTCTCAGAACAGAGAGTCGTCCATCGGATCCCAGCAGCGGATCACCTCTGACACCAGATCACCGTTTCTACTGGAACCAGCAGAGACACGCAGGAAGAAACTCCACTGCTGATTGGCTGATTCAGACGCTGCTGAACCGGTTCTGATCCAGTTCTGAGGAAAGGCGGGACCTTCAGTTTCCTCATTCAGCCATGGAGCTGTGAGGAGGTTAAAGGTCAGGAGCTTCAGTTTCCTCATAGTTTTGTTGGAGTTTCATCATTTCTGTCTCTGTGATCCTCCAGGTCCGTTTACCGGTTTCAGGACCGACCAGAACCCTGAGAAATAATGAGATTTGGTTTTATAAAAACAGGTTTTAATGCTGAAATGATCAGGTGTTACAAGCCATAATGTGATCCAAACGGATCAGAACCAACTTTATCCTGGTGTTTTTATGGTGTTACTAACTCACCTGATCCTCCTTCATTCGTGAACATAAACTTCTTTAATCTTTGTCTCTTTTAGCCTGGAGGCTTTAAGTTGTTCAAATAGTTTTGTCTCAAACGTTTCCAACGACAGTTAAAAACTTGCAGAGTTACAAACAGGTTTTAACTTGCTGCAGCTGTTCACTGGAAGATGTTTATGAGTTTCTGTCTCTGCTGTGCAGGAATGTTTCCTCCTTCCTCAGTTTGCTCATTTAGTTTTTTGTAAATTAAATGATTTGCTCTCTATTGGTGCCTGGTTCTGGTTCTGATCAGAGATCTGGACAGATTGATGGTTTTCCAGCCTGTCGGCTCTGCAGCCTCCAGTTCTTCATCAACCAGTTTGAACATTTATTTATAACCTGAGAAGAAAAAGAGGAAACGTTTTCATGACTGTAGATTAGTAAAAAGATTAAAGGTAAAAAATAATAATGAACAACATCTAAAACTTAAATATTACTGTGTAAAAGTTTTAAAGCTGTCAGTTTGTTTTTGTGTTTTCTTTCCCTCCAAAGATTCAATCTTGGTGTAAAAACGTCTTTTGACTGTGATCAGCATTTACAGGAACATTATTATCTTCTCTGCATCTCCACTGTATTGATCCAGATATTAATCAATGATCTGGGCAGAAGAAAAATACTCTTTTTTTGTTCAGTTTCACCTTCCACTAAACCTTCTAACGTTTTTTCATTATTATTATTATTAGAGAAACTAATTGTAGACTTGAGCCTCTATAATGTAATTGAACTAAATGTTTTTAATGATCCAGATATTGATGGGTCTGTTCCGAACCTCCGGTGGGTGGCAGTGACCCACCAGTTGGTTCCGGTCCAACATCAGAGCAGATCAGGTTCTGATCAGGTTCTGATGGTGCAGGAGTGAAACAGATCAGACTGAATAAATCCATCATGTATTGATTGATCCAGTCTGAGCTGCTGTTGTCCTGGTGGCTAACACCGTTAGCACCGTTAGCCTGCAGCGACTGAGTCATTTTCACATTAAAAGTCGCTTTTAGCCGCAGCTGCCATGGAAACAACAGCGACGAAAAGACGAGACAACAAGAAATCCCTGCGGGTTAAAGTCATCAGCCTGGGGAACGCCGAGGTGGGGAAGGTAGGACAGTTTGACTATTTCGCATCAAATCTACATGGAGTCTGGTCCGGTAGAGCTGGACGCCGCAACACACGACTAACCGCAATGTTTTATGTCATAATTGTTGATTACACGTAAATAATTCAGATATTAATTAATTGATGGAGAAACTGCTGACAGCCTGGATTATAAACCCTTCTTTAATATTAATAACATACTGATGATGCCTTAGGTCTGAGGCCAAGACGTTGTTTGTTTATTTAAATAATACGTTTTTTTATTATTCCTTCTGATTTCTGTAAACTTCAAAACACTTAAATAAATGTCCTATAATACTGATGACCACTCTACTATTCGGCTTATAAATGATTCATATAGATATTATAATGTATATCAGGAATATTATCTGATGCTAAAATAAATTAAAAGGTGTTTTATTTACAGTCTCCCAATTTTAAATCTCTGAGTAAATTAGATGATTTTTTTAGACAGTTTCTACTCATGTTTTGTCCATTCAACAGTTGCTACATCAGATGTTTAACACAAACCTTACCAGTCAGTTTCTCGGTAAACTGATCATCATTATTGACAGTTCAGAGGTACCAGTGGGTTATTAATTATTATTAATGGGCACAAAATCAAAAACCAATGCCTGCTCACAAAGTGGAGGTCGGAGTAGGAGGAGTGATTGAACCTTTAGTGTCAGGAACATCCTGGTTCTTGACCTGTTTGTACCTTCAGAGCTGCATCATCAAGCGCTACTGTGAGAAGAGGTTTGTCCCAAAGTACCTGGCAACAATCGGCATCGATTACGGAGTCACAAAGTAGGTTCTCACACCGACCGCTGTCCTGAACCAGACGGCTGTACGTCGTAGTAGTGACATGTGTGTTTGTGTGTCAGAGTTCAGGTCAGAGACAGAGAAATCAAGGTGAACATCTTCGACATGGCCGGTCATCCCTTCTTCTACGAGGTGAGACGTTACAGGCCAAGGTCTGGATTGTTTCAGCAGGTGGAGGCTCAGCGACTCGCTGGTCCTGCTGCTTGTTTCAGGTCCGTAACGAGTTCTACAAAGACAGCCAGGGAGTGCTGCTGGTGTACGACGGGGCTGAGGGAGAGCTTCGACGCCCTGGACAGCTGGCTGGGGGAGATGAAGCAGGAAATGGGCTCTCAGGCCAACATGGACAGCATCGTCTTCGTCGTCTGCGCCAACAAGGTCCGATCCGATCGACCGCCAAGTCATCAATAACATGCTGAACAGATCTGGGTCAGTCCTTCTGGTCTCTGGCGCCCTCAGGTGGACCTGACGAAACGGCGGGTGGTGGATGAAGGTGAGGGTCGTCTGTGGGCGGAGTCCAGAGGGTTCCACTACTTTGAGACGTCGGCACAGAGCGGCGAGGGCATCAACGAGATGTTCCAGGTAGACCTGACGTCCTGTGAGCCGCAGAGTTCGTACTGATGCTCTGAGGTTCTTCCGGTTTCCTCCGCAGGCGTTCTTCTCCTCCATCACTGACATGTGTGAGAACGGCGGGAAGCGGCCGGTGTCAGAGGTCAGTGTGGGCTTCACCAAGGAGCAGGCCGACACCATTCGACGCATCCGCAACAGCAAGGACTCCTGGGACATGCTGGGGGTGAAGCCGGGCGCCACGCGGTGAGTTTGGATCCTCGCCGAGGTCCGAGCTGCGGCGTCTCCTGACGCTGTGGTGTGTCTGCAGGGAGGAAGTGAACAAGGCGTACAGGAAGCTGGCCGTCCTGCTGCACCCGGATAAATGCGTGGCCCCCGGCAGCGAAGACGCCTTCAAGGCGGTGGTGAACGCTCGCACCTCGCTGCTGAAGAACATCAAATAACAGAGAACCGCCGCTGCTCCAACACTGCTCCTTATTTATCTGGATATTTACTCTATCTCTGTGCCACAGTGCTGTTTGCCAACCCTTAACCTTTGACCTTTAACCTGAGGACAGCCGGGTCTGACGGGACGGCAGAGTCCCACCAGAACCAACCAGGTCCATTTAGAGATCTGAGTCTGCCACTGAAATGTTATTTAGATTTAATTTAAATATTTTAAAATAATTTTATTCTTTTCAAATATTTAGGAAAGATTCCTGTTAATTTTTGTAGAAATTAAAATTTTCTTTAAAGTTATAATTTTCTTCCATAACATTGTAAAAATTTGTATTTTAAAAATCTAAATTAAATATTTATTATTTTAACATCTTAACTGATCAATTAATTATTTTTGAAATAATTATTATTGTCACTATTAATAATACTATTTAATTTTTTTGTTAATAATCTAAATTTAAAAAATAAAACTTCTTTTAATGTTACTTTCTGTGAGCGTCCAAATATGTAAATTTGGTTCACAAATTTTTAGGGAATAAATTCTTTTTACAATTTTTGTTTAGTTGTATCAAATGTTTAATTTGGCTAAATATACGTTGCAGCATTTTTAAGAATATTAACACTATATAAACATCACACTTAGCTTGAAAATAACAAAAAGTGAAGTTTTTTACCCCCACCCTTCAAAAAAAGTTACAATTGTAAAAAATGTAAAAACTGAGAAAACTATAAGGAGTTTCTATGGTGATATTGGCAGATAATCCCTTTTTTTTTATTTGAGAATTAATTTAAATGTTTAATATGGACTGATTTGGGATTTAGTGTTATATTAATAATAATAAAATGTTTTAGATTAAATGTTCCAAATTCAACATGTTTATTAAAATTATCTCTAAAATCAGAAACAAATCGATTTTCTCCAAAAAACAGATAAAAATGATCAAATGAAATTCAAAGTAAAACTGATTTAACTCAACAAAATGACATCAGCTTCAAATTGGGCTCAGAAATACTGCAGGAAGTTGTCATTTCTAGAGTGAATGTCACTTCCTGCTGGTCTCATAATGTTTGTGTTCTGCAGCTGATGGACCGGTTCGGTTCTGTTGGTTCTGTTCATCAGAACCTCACTGAGCTCAGAATCGTCACTGTGTTTATAAAGGTCAAAGTGCATGCTGAATGTTGAGTTGTGATCCTTAATGTTCCAAACAAACAGCCAGAACCAGAACCCGGCCAGCATGGCGCTCAGAGCAGGAACCAATCAGGCGATCGCTCCAATGACCCAGATTTCATCTGAAGTTTATTTACTCAATAATTCATTTAATTTGTTTTAACTTGTGATTCAAACCATTTTTAAAGTTACTCATTTTAGATTCATTTGTTCACCTGATATTCATTCATTTATAAATGTCAGTTTCAAACAAAATGTGTATATTTAAGAAGCTAAATATTTAGTTTGAAGCTCAGCATTTAGCTTGCCAACTGAATATTTAATTTCATACAAGATATTTAATTTGGAGCTAAATAGTTTCCTTGCTAACTCCATATTACGTTTGTTAGCTATTTAGCTCACCAACTATATCTTTAGATTTTAAAATAAATATTTCGTCAGCAAGCTAACTAGTTAGCTACAAATTAAATATTAATTTGAAGCTAAACAGTTAGCCTCTTATCTTATTAGATAGATTTGTCACCTTCATATTAACTAATTTAATCCTGGTCATCGTTTCATCTGAAATCTTGGTTTAGTTGGTTTAATTTGTGAGTTTAGTGATTAGAAAACATTTCTCTGAATCTGTTCAAATGCTTTTTGTTGACGTTTACCAGAATATTTAAGTTAATATTTCATTTTTCAGTGAAATGATGAGAATCAGCCTCCAAAATCTCCTTATTTCCACTGCCAAACATTAAATGGTTCAGTTTTAACTGGACTTTCTTCCCTTTACGTTACCATAGAAAGGGTCAGCATGTTTCCCCTGAAGGATTACATGAAGGATCCAACAGAACCATCTGCGACTGTTTACGGACTTTTATCAGGTCGACTGTTTGATAGCAGCTGGCATGGATACGTTATTGTTACAGTTTTATATTTTTACATGTTTGTGTCGACAGGAATGAATAAAATCAGCCTGAGCTTCCACATGTTCAATCAAACTGATGAATTGTTTCTATTTCTTATGAATAAGTCCTGATATGGACGGTTACCAGGAAATACCTTCACTACTTTATATCCAGTCTGAACATAAAATAAAGTGAAGAGGTTTCGCCACCAGGTGGCAGCACACTGAACCTACATCAGTGGACCACTTTTAGCTCCCTGATCAGATGCTTACAGTCCATCTTCTCAGATTTCTGTCCATCTGTGAAGTTGCCACCAACATGGTGACACAACCTGAGCACACAAACACAACCTGGCCTGGTTGGAGGCCTGCCAATCCCATCAGGCACCTGAACGGTCAGACACAGCCACATGCTTAATCTGACCGATTAATGATCAGCCTTTTGTCCATTTAGGAGTCCTGATGGGATTAGCGCGGCACTGGGACATCTGCTGGTCAACTTCAGCTCATTACACCAAGCTGCTGCGCCTCACTCAGACCTGCAGTTCATTCAGGAGCTGCAGGTTCTGGCTGTGACCCGAGAGTACCGTCCGTCTTTACTCACCGACACCATGAAGACCGGACGCTTCCGCTGATAAAACCCTCAGGAGGCTGATGAAGAAATGAGGAGCTTGGAAAGTGTGTTTGTTTCATGGATAAATCACTTTGAGCTGAAGAAGTTGGAGTTGATGAACCTGAGATGAACAAGGAAGCAGCAAAGAACAAAAACAAGACAAACCTCCAGAACCAGAGGCCTTACTGGAGAACAGAAACTGAATTCTGCAACCAGTGAGTACAACTACGACTCGGTTCTGTTCAGGTTTTCATCCTATGAACTAATATTCAGAGGATTCAATAAAACCCTTTACCATTTCTTACCGACTGATTGTTCCCATTGAGCCAATTTACCTTGAATCTAAAGGTTTCAGTTTGGTGGGAAGCAGGAATCCTCTTTAATGGTTCTGGATACTTTAACATGGTTGAGTCAACAGGAAGTTGAAGTACAGCATGGCAGCATGGCGCTGGCCTCAACTGGCATGAGATTAACACCATCTGCTTCATCAGCACTCTGACAGCTCAGTGGAGGCCTCTGCTGATTACAGACAAGAAAACCAGAGTATTAGACACCAGGTAGAAACCACTAAATAACTGGAAATAGAGAATAAGATGCACTTTTAAGCATAATAATAATAATACTTGTTATATCTGTTGATGTTAAATCCTCTTGGAATCAAAGATGTCCCGTTTGAGAAAACCAAAGAGGCAAAGAGTAGAGCCCTGAGGTTCACCTCAGAGAAAAGTTTGACCCTTGATTTAAGAGCCATAAAGTGGGAAATTAAGGGATCTATCAGATTACTATTGAGTGACTGCACTGATTTGGCATAATGGACAATGGTCTGGCAGAGATCCTGACTGAAATCAGACGAGTGTTTCATGGTTTCTGCTCCACACAGCTCCGTAGCTCAGTCCTACCACCCACATAACCATGACTGACAACAACACCACACTGATAAATGGCGACTGTGAATCAGCCAGACAGCCCAGTGACATCACCTTCAGTGCGAACATCAGCCCCGCCCACGGTCTACGAAGGAAACGTCTGCTGTGGCAGACTGCCGTCAGGAACATCATCGACCAGCACAACCTGTACTCTCTGAGGCTCGCTGGCGGCCTGGAGAGAGGCAGACACCGCATCACCGTCACAGACGCCTACATTGCAGACATCAACAGGTACGACACCTGCTGCCACAAGCAGCAGGTCCCAAGAACAAGCATTGGGATGTTTTGGTCTTTAATTGGTTTCTTTCTGTGGTTCTGCAGGCAGATTCGCAACAAGACGTCACGTGGCAATTTTTGGCAGAAGCGTCGATCGTCTGTGGCGAGTTCATCCAGCTCCAAGGATTTCTGTACAAACTCAAGTCGCACAACGTTTGCTTACCGATGCCGACTTCTTTGTGTCGTACGGATCGACGATCCGAGGCATCTTCATTCCCACCATGCAGCTGACATTCAAGTAGAGAAGCTCAAACAAAAAGGAAAAACAGTCTGATGTTCAACAGTTTTTTAAAACTTGTGTTTCATCTGGACCTCCAGGTCTGCTGACCTGGAGTTGACCTACCAGCAGTTCTCGTCAGCTCAGCGAAGAACCTCTCTGGTTGTCACCAACCTCATCGACATCTTCATCCGGCTGTTCATCTCTCTGGTGACGTGGCCAACAGGTTGGGGGCGGTGGCTTGTGACTGGCTGACCGGCCTGTCGCTCGTTCTGTGGGCCGGATCTGTGGGCTGGCAGTGGCAAACAAGGAGGTGATGACTTCACCACAGTGGCTCAGGTATGGCTGAAACAAGGCTGTTCAACGTCCCAACAATATTTGATGACTATAAACAGGTCTGGATTTGCAGGTTCCTGTCGGTGCTCACCTGGGGTCTCAGACCGTCCAGGTGTTGGTCGGGTTTTCAGCTGGGCTGAACCCGATCACTCCTGGTATGTCTTCTTCACTCTGTTCTCCACCTACACCCTGTTGCCGCTCCCCCTGCCTTGGGCAATTGCCGCAGGGACAATCACCTCCACCCTGCACCTCCTAGTGGATGTCTGTTGGCACTACAGTGACCAAATTCTGATCAAGGGTTAGAAAAACTTTTAGACTTTCCATTTTTTACTGCCATATGTCTTCCCTTTTCAGTCTAAATGCCTCTCCACCTTCTTTATGTTCTTTCCTTTGTCCAGGTGTTTCTCAAAAGGCTTGTTGTACCTGGCGATGAATACCGCCGGTATCTTCATGAACTACCTATCTGACAGGACTCAGCGGCAGAGTTTTCTGGAGACACGAAGATGTATAGAAGGACGAGTCCGACTGGAGAGGGAGAACCAAAGACAGGTAAAGGGTTCCCCTCTTAGGCATATTTACTCTTACGTAAGATGAACATGTCCAATTCTGTCATCTTTCTCTCAGGAGCGTCTGGTAATGTCCATCCTACCACGCTTCCTGGTTCTGGAGATGATTGCCGACATGTCTGCAGTGGATGAA